CGCCCCAGCTCTTCCTGTAGGCACCCACCCTTCATGTTCTTCCTACAGCCCAGGTGCCACTGGGCAGGCCTGGACCCTGCTTCACTCAGCTTCCCCACCGCCAGAGGGTCCGCCTTGGGCTGGGGCATCCGGAAGCAGTGTGGGAGCTTTGGCAGAGACTGTGTGGGGTGGTCCCGTTGTCCCCGAGAACGCAGACTGAGTGGGGGATGGGAGGAGGCAGGCGTGTGCCAGGGAGTGAGGACAGGGCGGGTGCTCACCCCCAGCAGGGGGACTGGTTGAACCCGGCTCCCCGACCAGAGTCCAGGGTGGACGCCCTTCGGTAACCCCGAGCTGGGTGTGCACAGGTAGGGCAGGGTGAGGGGGACAAAGGGCCTGTGAGAGCTGGAAGGTGGGCCGACCCAGGACCCACCTGCCGACTGCACTTGGCACAGAGGGCAAAGTCCCCAAGAGCCAGGTGCGTGCAAGTGCCAGCCCCTGGCCACGCCCGGCCCATCTGCCTGGGGTCTGGAGGCTGGCCCTCCCCAGCAGCATTTGTCACAGGGTGTCTTGTGATTCAGAGACCTGCACCCACAAGGAGGCCTGTGAGCCCCACCAGGCCATGGAGTGTGGAGACTGAAGGGAGGCGGATGTGACCCAAGCCCTGGGCCCCAGCTGGGCGCAGACAGTGGCCTGTGAGCGCCGCCCCGCCCCTGCCCGGCCAGGCTGTGCCAGGCTCAGTGCCTGTGCGAGCCCAGCCCCCTCAGTCTCCCTGCTAGGAGCTGGTCATGTGGACTAATGAGGGCACGCTAATCCGGCCGGGCCCTGGCAGCCAGCCCTTCCTGTGTCTTCGGTGGTGGGGGATGGGCCTGGAGGGCTCAGGGTCGTTGGGGACAATGCTGTGTACCCAGGGGTGACTGGACGCCCTGGTCACTGTGGGGCCTTGGGTCAGGGGCAGGCCCCTGGGTTAGGCCTCTGTCTTGCTAGGCTTGGGGCGGGGGTGGCAGCTGGAGGGTTGGGTGGGGCCTGCTGTGGGGACCAGGCAGATTGAGGAACAGTGTGCCTTCCAGCCACGGGAGCAAGTATCTCTTGGTTTTGCCTGACTTGGGTGATCCGCGCTCATCTGCTCTTGTCCCCGACTGTTCGTTTGTGCCGCTGGCTGGGGCAAAGCCGACTGGGCCTGCGCCTGAGATTCGCCCAGCAGGTCTGTGTGTGAACCACACTGAGACGGAAAGCACGCGAGCTGGGGGTGCCGGTGGCTGTGTGGGGCTGTGTGTGCGCGTGTGGCTGTGGGAGGGGGCGGCTGGAGCATGTGCCCTTGTTTGGGGACACTCGCTCAGCCTGGCATTGCCCCCTGAGGCCAGTGCCGGGGCCCCCTCCACTGCCCAGGCTGCGAGTCCAGCTTTCCTGTGAGGCCCCTGCATGTCCTGCTGTCGCTGGGCCCCATGGTTCTTTGCCTGGGGGCCCAGCTCCTGCCTCCGGCTCCTTCCAGGGGAGGAGGGGAACTTGAGCTGGCTGCTGGAGTCTTGTGCTCAGGAGTTTAATGTTTCGGGCTCCTGCAGGGCCGCTCCCATCTGCTGCAGGCTGGTGCCTCTCGTATTCGTTACCAACCTGCTGGGCCTGGCCGAACCCTGCTGAGCAAGTCTGGTGGGCCTGTGGCTTTAGTGGGGAGTGGAGTCCTGGGTCAGGGAGTGCGAGGGTCCATCTGCCATCCTGCTTGCGCCTCGCTTCCTCTCCACACCAGCAGCCTCGTCTGCACTCTGAGGCCGTTGGGAGAAAAGAGGATTTGCTCAGGCATGAAATTCTGCAGCCTGCAGAGTGGGCAGGGTAGACAAGGGCCAAGTGGACAGCCCAGGTGGGAGGAAAGGGTCAGCGCGACCCCGACTTGGGTGCAGTTTTGGTCTAATTCTGACTTGGTCTGTAAAATGGGGTGATGGCATTTGGTGTCGCCCCCCTGGGGTTTGGCATATGCCAGCCACCCTGCTTTGTCACCTCATGGACACCCCGGGGGCCTGGCCTTAGGTGTGTGCCCCGTCCTGCCCAGCAGCACTGGTCCATGCTGAGCTGTGCAGGAAGCGTCATTCGGGTGCCCAGCAAGCCAGGATGTGAACTCGGTCCTGGAGAGAGACCCCAGCCAACAACACACTGCTGGTGACTGAGGAGGTCGGGCACCCGAGTAGGTGGGCCCCCCGAGTGCCGTCTCACTTAGACCCTGCTCCTGCCATCGAGCCTCTAGGTGGCTGGTGCTCCCCTGCGAAGGCAGCCCTTCAACCCTAGGAGCTGCCATAGAAGTTTCTAGAGACACTGAGACTTTGGGCTCCTGGTGCTGGCTAAGGTCTGGTCCCTGGGCAGGGTTGGTTACCCGAGGTGATGTGACCCTGGGCCTGGGGGGAGAAGGGGATGGGTGGGGTCTGGGAGGCAGGTGTTTGGACACACTGGCCCCGGGTTGCATGGGCAGTCAGAACAACCTTCCTGGGGTCCTTGGGGCCCGGGCCAGCAGGGTGCCGGTAAAGGAGGGGTCTCCGATGAGGGGCAGCCCCCCCCCCCCACCTTGCAGTTCTGAAGGGTTGATGGCATGTTCTGCTACCTGCCCGGGGCCGCCAACCTCTACCGTGCCTCCGGGGTCACTGTGCCCGGCTCAGCCTGGCTGGAGTAACCCCTGGTAGCCAGGCAGCAGAGCCCTGCTGATGTACCTCCTGTCCTTAGATGAAGATCTCCTTCAATGACAAGCGCCTGCAGACCACATTTGAGTACCCTCCTGAGAGCTCGCTGGTACAGGAGGAGGAGGCTGAGGCCCAGGAGGAGGACGGGGAGGAGGAAGAGGAGGAGGAGGAGTCCAGCTCAGATGGGGTGGTGGAGAAGCCCTTCTCGCTGTTCCTGCCCCGAGCCACTTTTGTGAACAGCGTGGGGCCCGAGAGCCCTCACCTGCCGGACGGCAGCTCAGGTGAGTGCCCACGTGTGGGAATGGGCGGCCCAGTGGGTAGCTGGGCCACACGTCCACACGTGTGCCTCTTGGCCCACAGGCTTGTCCGCATACACTCCAAAACACTCTGTGGCCTTCAGTAAATGGCAGGAACAGACGCTGGAGCAGGCTCCGAGTGAGGTGGAGCCCACACCCAAGGAGGTCATGGTGAGCAGGGGTGCGGCTGGGAGGGCCAACACCCAAGGCCTGGGGTGGGGGGTGTCTCTAATGCCTGGATGAGTCCCATTGGCTCCCTCTCTGTCCCTCTCTCTCAGCTCACCCCTGCCAGTCAGAACGACCTCTCAGACTTCCGAAGCGAGCCAGCCCTCTATTTCTGACCCCAGCCCTGCCAGGATGGCCAAGGCTGAGCCCTGGGAGCCGGGCAGTGCCCAGAAGCCCGCCCTCGCTCTGCACCCCCCACCTCTCACTGCCCTGTTGGGCTCTGCCCTGCCATATCCCACCCTCCCTTCCTGGGGTTGGCCTGAGCCTAGGGCGCCGGGGTCTCCTGCTTCCCTCGAGGCCGAGTCTCACTCTGCAGCCCTGGTTTGGGGGCACTGCCTGTGGAGGATGGACAGGGTCCCGCTGGACACCATGCCAGCAGGTGTCTGGTGCATGTGTGAAGGGCTAGGTCGGCTGCCTGTCCTCTGTGGGACTTCCAGCCCTTCCCAGCCCACACCCCCCAACTGCAGACCTCAACTCGCCCTGTTTGTGATGAATGGCAAGTTTTTTCTTGCCTCTAATGATGGATTCAATAAATACCACTGGACAAGGCCTCCTCTGCCTTCCCTGTGTGGTCCTTGGCCAAAGAAGCAGGGAGCAGGGGTGGGGTCTGTGGGGCTCCATCGAGGCCCTGGCAGCGAGGAGGAAGGTACAGCGGGAGCCCAGCCGGGACATCTGTGCCTGGGTATGGGGTAGTCCTGTGTGGCACCCCCACACGTTGCTGTCTGGCGGTCCAGGCGTTCGCTCCCGTAGCCCCGCCTGCCCTGCTTCCCCTCCCAGCCACCCCCTTGGGGGAAGAGGGACCCCCGTGAGCACTTCTGGTCTCTGGGCTGACACAGTGGGAGCTGTAGGGGGAGGAGCACTTTGGGCTTGCTCTCTGGGGTCTGGTACTCTGGCTGGACCAGAGCCGTTTTTAAGGCCAAGCGCCTGGGAGGGGACGAGGAGCGGGCGGAACCTCAGGGATATCGCCTCCTGTGTGGCTTGGAAAGCCACCTGACCCACAGGAGCCTGCAGCAAGGCTGTAGGAGGCAGACCACTTCCCTGGAGTCAGTGCTAACGGCCGGCAGGAAAACCCAGCAGAATCCAAAAGGCAACAGGAGACACAGAACTGCCTGCTCAGCTTGGAGCTGGGGAGCTGGGGCTGCTTGTAATCCAGGCAACGGATGCAAGTACATCCCTCCTGAGGAGTCAAGCCCGCGAGAAATGCTGCTTGTCCAAACTTGGGAAGGAGGAGGGTGTTTTTAGTGTTCTGGGTGGAGTGCGCCCAGGTTTCTCCAGACCTTCTCAATACATGCTTCTCAGACCTGCCTAGCTGCAGGGACCCCCATAGGAGCTAACTGGCCAACGGAGACAGTCCCAGAGAGGACTCGGGGTGGAGGGCTGGGCCCCAGGCAGCATGGGAGGCTGGAAGTCAGCACGCTTGGTGGGACCAGGAAGAGTGGGGAGTGGTGGTGCTGTGGGGTTGGAGCAAAGTTTAGAATCCTGGAGCTGGGGCACAGCCCTGGCTGGAGAGCGTCTCCCTGGGCCAGGCCTTGTGTCGGGGAATAGGGCATCGCACAGACCAAGACCAATAGGCAGAACACCACCCGACAGGGAGGCTAAGTGCTGGGGCTGGGGGCAGGGGGCCAGCAGCCCTGGTGGGGAGAAAGGGTGGGTGACAAGGTCCCAGGGAATGCTCAAGGGTACCCTCAACTCTGTCCCCAAAGCCAACAAGGCTTGTCACAGGGAAAGCCACTCCAGGCCCTCCTCTGCCAAGAAGCCATGCGGCTGGGCTCACATTGGTTCTGGGGTCGTGCGGCAGTCCCACGTCCCACGTGCAGGACACAGGACACAGGCAGTAAGCTACCTTCACAAAGACAATCTTTACTGACAGTCATAGGCCACCAGGGCAAGCTCTGAGGGGGTGGGCCCCAGCCCCTCCCCTGCTCCCCTGGCCTGGGCACCGAGGTGAGGTGGCTGCCGTGCTGGTGAAAGTAGGGAGCAGGGTCTTTCTGGCAGCCCGGGGCGGGGGTGAGGGGACCTCCGCCCTGAGCGCAACTCACCCAGAGCCTGTCCTTCCCATGTCCTATGAGTACAGGGCCAGGACCCCCACCTGGTGGGCTGCACCCAGGGCTGTACTTGTCACCCGGGGCAGGTGAAGCTGGGCAACTGCCTCTTGGCACCCGAGACGGCGAAAGGAGGCAGCTGCTACCACGAAGAATAAAGACGCTTTGAAGACAGACTTGTTGGGGATCGAGCCACTGAGGGGTGTGGGAGGCAGGCCCCTCCCCACCAATGGCCTCCTCAGCTCTCCCTGCCTCCACTGCTCTTGTGCTCCGAGGCTGTGGCTTTGGTCAAGTTCCCGGCTTCCCTCTTCAGGACACTAAGCAGAGTCTGCGAGCTTTCCAGGATCTGGAAACGGGGACACGAGACAGCTGTCACTATCCCTCTCGTCAGAAGGCTCGCACAGTCCAGCTCTGCTCCTACCGAGCCGGTGCCAAGCCTGGGGCAGAAGCAGGGAGAGGAAGCCCCTGACGGGAGGGTCGGACAGGGTCAGCAGAGCCTTTAGCCCAAAGCCCCCCTCCTTGCACCCTGGGAAGCCAGGCGAGATGAGCTCTGGCCCTTGCTGCCACTCTCTGCCCGTGGTCTGGGACAAGCCATAAAACTACGGTGCACAGAACAGGACTTGGGGCGTGCCGGGCCCCACTGACAGCCCCACTGTCATCCCACAGCGGTCCTGACCATGTTGTAGTCCTGTCGCCTCTGCCCGTGGGTGCCCCCAGGCCACCCCCCCCGCAGGCCACAGGCATGCAGGCTCCCTGCCGGCCCCGAGCCCCACCTTGAGGTAGGCAGCCTCTGTCTCTGCGATGGTCCGGTCAAACTCGTTGCGAGAAGCAATCTTGCGCGCCAGATTCTCGTTGACTCGGGCCAGTTTCTCTGTCAGCTGCCTCACCTCGCTCTGCAGACGCTGCTTCTCATCCTCCTCCTGCTGGATCTGCCGACACAACTCCTCTCGCTTCTGACACAGCTCCTCGATGCCTACAGTGGGCCGAGCGGGGCAGGCGCTGTGGACCCAGGGCAGGAAGGACAGCAGCACCCCTGCCACTCTGGAGCCCACTGCTGTGTAGGAGGAGAGGGTGGCGGGAGGCCCGGGGCTGGCTCGGCCACCTTCCACCGCCGCCAGGCCAGGCTCCGACCGCCCAGGGGTTCTCGGGGTTAGAGAAAGCACCGCACCGGACCAGCGGGCGTGGCGCCCGGGCGGCAGTGCGTGCTCCAGCCATTCGTTCCTTGGCTCTCTCCACAGATACCCAGGGCTTGGTGCGTGCCACAGAGCGGCCGTGCGCCGGGCGGGTCCGACGGCCACCGGCGCCTTCCCAGCCGAGACACCCACGCACGGACCGTGCACCCCACTCGGCCGCGCGCTGCGGGCCAGCTACTGCCTCGGCCTGCACGCCGGCGAGCCCCGCGCCCTCCCAGCCCGCCCGGCAGACCCCGCCGCGCGGCCGCTCACACTTGACTAGCTCGTTGTTGTAATTCTGCAGCGCCGCGCCCTGCTGGGTCATGGTCGCCGCTTGGGCCGCGACCACTCCAACCGCCGCCAGCGCCTCGCCGTTCGCGCCTGCGCACTGCCTTCCGACAGCGCGCCCTCCGAGACGTCACCGCGGCGCGCCTCTAGTGTGCGTCATCGCCGCGCGCCGCGCCGCGAAGCCCTGGGAGCTGGTGGGCGCAGATGGCGACGGCGGTGCGAGACGGCGACCCCGGGCCTGCACAGGAACTGTTGGTGGCCTGGAACACCGTGAGCACCGGGCTGGTGCCGCCGGCCGCGTTGGGACTGGTGAGGCCCCGGAAGAGGGCAGCGGGTCCGCGCGGGGTTCCGGGGACCCTGCGCGCTTTACTAGGACGTCCACCCTGGGGTTCGTTCCGCTACCGAGGCGGCCCTTCCCTAGCGTCGGCCAAGCATCCGTGCGTCGTGGACGAGGGGTAGCGGAAATCCCGCAGCTTCCCCTCCGCTCTGTCCCTTTCCCCGCTTCTCCCCGCGTGTCAGTGCCCTTCCCACCGCTACTCTGTGTCCCCTTCTCACGGTTCCCTGCACTCCAGGCGTCCTCCCGGACCAGCGGTGCCGTGCCGCCAAAGGAGGAGGAGCTCCGGGCGGCGGTGGAGGTTTTGAGGGCCCACGGTCTGCATTCGGTCCTGGAGGAGTGGTTTGTAGAGGTGCTGCAGAACGACCTGCAGGCCAACATCTCCCTTGAGTTCTGGAATACTATCTCCCAGCGTGAGAACTGTGCAGACGAGCCCCAGTGCCTTCTGCTTCTCCTTGACGCTTTCGGCCTGTTGGAGAGCCGCCTGGATCCCTACCTGCATAGTCTAGAGCTGCTGGAGAAATGGACTCGCCTGGGCTTGCTGATGGGCGCAGGCGCTCAGGGGCTGCGGGAAAAAGTCCACACCACCTTGCGGGGCGTCCTGTTCTTTTCCACTCCCAGAACCTTTCAGGAGATGATTCAGCGCCTCTATGGGCGCTTTTTGAGAGTTTACATGCAGAGTAAGAGGAAGGGGGAAGGGGGCACAGACCCAGAACTAGAGGGGGAATTGGACAGCAGATATGCCCGTCGCCGGTACTACCGGCTTCTGCAGAGCCCGTTGTGTGCGGGATGCGGCAGTGACAAGCAGCAGTGCTGGTGCCGCCAGGCCCTGGAGCAGTTTCACCAGCTCAGCCAGGTCCTGTGAGTACTCGTGCCTGTGTGGACACGCCTCTGTTCTTGCCTCTGGCTGGCTGTCCTGGGTCCAGCTGGCTGGGTGGGGTGGGGGGTGGGGTCTCTGCCGGATCGTCCTGGGTGTGGCCAGGGGCGGGTCCCTAGGATCCCAGCGCTGTGAATTTATATGTTTTGTCTTGGACACGGGTGTGTGTCTGCCACTCACACTAGCCCTGGGTTTCCGCTCTTTGCTTAGTCTGAGACCCTAGGGATTGCAAATTTTCTGGGCCACGTAGAATTCTGCTGTGCCTTCTGTAGGCTCCCTGGGGAAGGGATGGTGTTCATCCTCTCTTGTAACGGCAAGAGGCGGGCTTGCTTTTTTTATTCTTTCCAGACAAGTTGGGGATTAGGCTAACACGCTGGGCAAGCAGATTGCTTTTCCAGCCTTTTAAAGAGGAAAGGATTTTGCTGTCGCCGTTAAAGCTGGGTTCTGAGCTGTGAGCCTTTAATCCTTTGTGGTTGCTGGTAATGATCTTGTCACGTTGAGTGAAGCGGCAGCAGCACAGCTGTTGGGAAGGGGGAGGGGCTTCTAGCTGGACTGAGGGAGGGGCCCTGTTGCCGGCGAGGGTCAGGGAGGCCCTGGATGGCTTTTGCTGGTTCATCCCAGATGCAGGGTGCCCAGAAATGTTCTCTCTCGTTTTCTCGAGTTCATTCGCCATCGCTGACCAGGGTCTGCACCCAACGGCATAACTGGTGGCGTCTATGCTCACCTGGTCGGGACGGTGATATATTTAGCTGTTGCTTCAGAGCCATGTTTAAGGAGATGCGGTTTTAGCCCTGAGAGCCACACCCACTCCTCACACGGGCAAGGCCAGGGTCTCAGGCTGGGCAGAGAGGCCAACTGGGGAGGGCAGGGCTCTGTCCTCCCCAGCAGCTTTTCCTTGAAGCCTTCGGTGCAGAGGGCGCTGGGTGTGAGGGGGAGCAGGGTACTCTGTGTGCTCCACGAGCAGGGCTGTCCTCCAGACACAGGCTGAGTCTGTTGGAGCGGGTCAGTGCGGAGGCTGTGACCACCACCCTGCACCAGGTGACCAGGGAGAGAATGGAGGACCGCTGTCGGGGCGAGTACGAGCGCTCCTTCCTGCGAGAGTTCCACAAGGTAAGGACAGCCTCTCGGGCCCTGTTCCCTGGGGGCTGTAGAACAGGTTTCTGGCCAACCTGACACCCTAGTGGTCTTAGAAGCAGCCACAGTATGGGGACTTGGACGAGCTAGGACCTGGCTGGTGGATGAAGCTGTCTTGGTGTTGGGTGGAAGCTGGCCCTTCCCGGCCTGCCCTTGTGACTGCAAGATAGAGCCCGTGACCTGCTCAGCAAGGTCTGTGAGAAATCACTTGGCTGGAGGCGGTGCCAAGGTCTGGGGTGTCCCGCTGAGGGGCCTCAGGGCGCCCGTGCTGTTGGGGCGTGGTCTGGGGCTCTGCCCTGGTCTCCCTAGAGCCGGGGAGGTGCTGGCCCAACCGCAGGGGACCGTCCAGCCCGCCCCTACTTCCCGCATGTCATTCTCCGCCGCTTCCTGGTGTCTGCGTCCCAGGGCTCAGATTAGCTGTGGTGGGGGTTCAAAGCAAGTGTCTGTACAGCAGCGGTCTGGAGTAGGTGTGAGCCCAGAGGCCTGGCCGGGGCACCTATGTTGCCCCCAGCTGGTAGAGTATCGGGATGTTGTCATCAGGGGCTGCGTAGTTTGTGGGGGAACGTGTGCATCCTAGGCTCTGTGCGGCTGTTTTGCCTATAAGTTTACGCGTGTGTGCTCAGAAGGGCCCTTACGTTGTCCCACGTGGTGGGACTAGTCAGGTACGTGGCCCCCAGGGTGTGTCTGTCCACCAGGTCAGAGGTGAGCGTTCTCTCCGTGCTCTGCATCAGGGCCACTGTTGCTAGAGATAAGCCTGGGCTCTGGTGCTCATCGGGTGTGGGGACACATCGATGGGAGGCCTGGGAGGCCCACTTTGGACCCGTTATCCTGCTGGTTTCAATGTGCTCCTAGTGTCCAGGAGCCTTAGAGACTCCCCAAGACTGGCTGCAGTGCGGGTAGCCTCTGCTCCATGTCAGGCTGGGGTTCATTCAGCTCCTCACCTCCCTACACCTGCGCTCTCCCGACAGTGGATCGAGAGGGTGGTCGGCTGGCTCGGCAAGGTATTCCTGCAGGATGGCCCCGCCAGGCCCGCGTCCCCGGAGGCTGGCAACACACTGCGCCGGTGGCGGTGCCATGTGCAGAGGTTTTTCTACCGTATCTATGCCGGCCTACGCATCGAGGAGCTCTTCAGCATCATCCGAGGTCAGCCCCCTGCCCGCTGAAGCGGCCACCTTCCCCGTGCCTTCGCCATTCAGATCCTGCAGGCGGTCAGGGGCACTTAGGACAGACAGTGGCGTCCCAAGCAGAGCTGGGCCCGCCAGTGTGGCCCCCAGATGGTGCTTCTGGGCGTCCACCCCCATCCTGTCGGCGGCTCCATGCTCCTGCTCTGTCCTTGGGCATTCAGGGGCGAGGCGGGGGCTGGAGGGCACATGACCGCCCAGGGACGGCCTGAAGCACCTAGTGGTGTTTCTCATCACTGCTGAGTGGAGGCGCCACCGCTCACCCTCTGGGCCCTGCCGACCTTGTGTCCTTTCTTGCACGCACAGCACGTGCGTGCTTGCACGTGTGTGTGCAAGGGTCCACACTCTTCCTACAGACTTCCCAGACTCCCGGCCAGCCATTGAGGACCTCAAATACTGCCTGGAAAGGACCGACCAGAGGCAGCAGCTGCTCCTGTCTCTCAAGGCTGCCCTGGAGACGCGGCTCCTCCACCCAGGTGCCTGAGCTGCTGCCCAAGAGGCCAGTCTCCTCTGCCGAGGGGCCTGTGTAGGGTGTGGGTCTGTGCGGTCCTTAGGAGCTCCTCCTCATCCTCCCTTGAAGAGAGTCCTGGGAAGTGATGGGAGTGGCCTGGGGCAGACCGCCCAGTGAGGGGAGGGCTCGGACCTTGGAAAGTTCCAGGGAAAGCACATGAGAGTTAGGGGAGAAGGGGGAGAGCGTCCCGTGGGTCACAGTGGTATCCTGGGGAGCGAGGTCACCGTGGTGGCCGAAAAACCCACCTGGCCAGGGCGCTGCTGCTCAAGGGACAACTCCTGGGTGCTGCTGTGACTACTGTCCTTTCTCCTGGCCGTAGGGGTCAACACGTGCGACATCATCACCCTCTATATATCCGCCATCAAGGCACTGCGTGTGCTCGACCCTTCCATGGTCATCTTGGAGGTGGCTTGTGAGCCCATTCGCCGCTACCTGAGGTGAGCCCCGTGGCCAAGCTCCAGGCTGCTGCTCGCACCTGGGGTCCTTGTCTCTTGGCTCCATTTGTGCAGCCAAGTTCCCCGTGGGTCCTTGTGGCCCCCGAAACACCAGGGACACTCTGTTCCTCCTGTTGGGCCACATGACCTGGCCACGGCCCGGGCTTCTTCGTCTTGTGGGTGCCACCACGTCCATGGGCAGACACTGGGGACCCCACCCTGTAACCCTGCTCTCTGTTCCCATCCCCTTTTCCTAGTCCATAGAGGCCCCGGCTCAGCTTTAGCTTACTGACCAAGACCCAGGCTGAGGCCGGGGGGGGCGGGGGGGGACCCCTGTGCATGAGCGGTAGTGACTCCCAGGCTGTCTGTCTGTCAGACGACGTGTTTGAGCGGGTGCTGGGGCACAGCTGTCTGGAGACCCCTCGGGACAGTAGAGGCTCAGGGCTGGGGCTGGGAGGCATCTGGTGCTTCCCTGACTCACGTCTGCTGCCTCTTGGTTGGGAAGGCCCTGGCCTAGATCCCGTATTATTTTAGTTCTCGGCGTTCCCGAAAACGGTGGGGTTTATCTTATTATGATCAGTATTACTGTTTTCTGAGAGAAAGTTTGATGGACCCATCCTAAGCACGTGGCCAACAGGGGTGCTGG